GTGAGAACTTCCTCACTGATATGCCTGAATGCTGAACTGGTGGAGCTATTGTACCCGCAGAGGTGAAAGGGTAATTTGGTTTTCATAGTCAGAAAAGCATGATCCATGGCTTGTGATGGTATTTCTACAAGGAGCACACCTCACACTGGCAAGAAACTGAAATGTTGCCAGGTTTAAGTGACAAACTAGAATTAAATGAAAGCTTACCACTCCTTGATATCCTTTATATTCCGTAAGTACCTTGTATGGAGCACTCTGGGCCCAACCCAAGAAAAAAATGGCTAAATGTGAGTGAAAAAATGTATCAAGGGAGCAGCACTGCTCACGTACTTGAAGTTATGCAACTGGTGCATCAGTTCCAACAGGACCAGAGGATTACTTTCTGAGGATTATTTTCTCTTTAAGGTAAACAGCCAGCTAAATTTCAACTTCGTTATTATTATCCATGCAGTCACCTTTTATTGCATGTTTCTAGCCAAGCATCTGAAAAGCTACAGTGCCATTCTGCAAGCAAATGTCGTCAATCTAATAAATTAATTACATTCATTGAAAAAAAAACCACTAACAAATTTTAAGAGAAAAACCACCTCAAATATGACTTTTCTTTCCTTTCTATCCTCCAAGGGGGAAGAGAGAACTAAATGAAAACCAAACCCTCTGTTCAAGTCAGGTCATCATGACACAAAGCCGTGCAAACCCATAAATCCAGCAATGCTGACAGTCTCGCCTGGCAGCGTGCACGCAGGCTTCTGAGCCATGGAAAGTTGGGAGGGCTTTGGATATTGGCTCTGCAGCTGCAGGCTGACTTATCAGACGGAAGGAAAGGTCAGCGTGCCACAAACAGCGCGCCAGGCAAGAAATGTGCACTTGGGGTTGCGCTGCTGCATGGGTGGAGTGCAGCCCCGTCCTCTCCTGCCCTGGGGATAAACTAACCTTAAGTTCGTGGAGGTAGGAGACCACAGGAAGGAAGGCTCTCTACAGATACATTACCGCTCATGCTACCGATACATCACTGATAACTGAGATAAATATTTGGGGTTAGACAGGGACACAGGGAAGCAGCTGAGCTCCCCAGTAAACATAATGGAGAGAGACATTATTACTGTACTTTAAAAGAAAAAGAACTAAGGTAGTAATGAAGCATTGACTGGTCAGAAAACGCCAACTGAACTCTCAGCTTCTCTGCTGCAGATCTAACACAAGAAAACGTAACTGCAGCGCAGCTGAAGGAACAGCTGGAGTTCAGAAATACCTAAGCTCCAGTTTATTATGCACACACACAACTAGCCCATTCCTAAGCACCATGAAATCAGTCAGAAGTTTCTCAGACTACATTTCCCTCTGTCACGGACTAGGTGTTAACAAACCCACATCCCCCTTTCCCTAAAGGCTGGTCAAAACTGTTGATCCAGCTAAGATCTCTGAAACCACGAGCCACATGTTTGACCTTTTGTATTTCTTCAAGCAGAGCAGGTACAACTGTGAAGCAACTTGGTGTGAAGGAGCAGAGCAGTTGGCCAGGGCTGGAGGTCTCCTCTTCTCTGCACTGCATAGTCACTGCTCTCAATACACAGCCGGGCTGCCACAGGCACTTCAACCTACAAAACAGTCTTTAAAAACTATAAATGTGATGCCTCTACAAAGCTGAAGAGCAACAGCAGAGCTCAAAGGAAATGGCTGCCTCCATGGTCTGGTTGGTTTGCCTCACTGAAGTACCAGCAGAAGGCAATGCTACAGGCCTTGGGTCAAAAATGCCTCGACTGTACAGAACAGGACAGGCTTAGCTTCAAGCATCGCTTATGTTATTTAGTGTAAGAAAGATGAAGAACTTTAGGTCATAGATCAGACAAAAAGTTACAGCTGGACAGCTTTCTAATTCGTACAACAGGTCTCATACCTTTACAGTGTAATCAGGCACATTGTAAATGTCATTAAACAACGGAGTCCATCTGCTGAAACCTCTTATTTCTACTATGCAAAATGCAACATTAGAAGATCCAGCATTGTTATGCTTCGTTCAGTATACTGAGAAGCACTACAAGATTTTATTTAGACCTATTTGTAAAGCTCAAATCAAAAAATACCTTCATCTTTAAACAAATGTCAATGCAGAGAAATAGAGACAGCTAAAAAGCCTCACACTCTCTGAAAAACTCAGAGACAAGAACTAGCTTGCTGATGGCTCTCTGGACAGTGTTGGAAAGTCGCAGTACATGAGATGGCTACAGGGAAGGAAGCAATCTTGTGATCACTGTTCATGGTGTCTGTGTAATCCGGAGCAAATGACAGTGTCAAAACGGAGACTAAAGGCAATTTTATAACTGGGCTCAAAGCTGGAAGTTCTCAAATTCAAACTTGTTTTTTCCTAACTTCAGACAATGAAGTAATGGATACAGGGCTTTCAAATGCGTAGAGCAGCCGCGTTTAGCCACACTTGTGCTGTCTGATGTTAGTGCATTTAAAATGACCGTGAAGTTCTGGGAATTCTTTCTGTGAGTTAGAGATCCTTAAGAAATACGATTTGAAGATGTTTTTAACCTTTGTAATCCATTCCCAAAAGACATCTGTTCTTCCTTTTTGTTTATGTCTTTGAGACAAATAGAGACCATTTCAGACTAATCTGCCATATTTATGGGACACGGTGACATGGCAGCCACTCGGAACAAACTTGAGGGATTGAGTAAAAGGCAGATGTAGCCTGATCTGGGGCACTCCTAAGGCAAGCATACTGCCTGCTCCGTTTTCCAATTTCAGAATGAGGGTGTCAAGGAATAATTTTTAGTGTGGGAAGTTCCTGTTAACAGTTTAATCTAAACAATAACACAGACAGTCTGTTTATTCAATGGTAAATCATGTGGCAATGCTTAAATTCCCAAAGAATGCATGCAAATATTGTTGTTAGACAAAAGTGGAATGGCTGAAATGGACTTTATACTAAGCTCCACAATTACTGAATGCAAATACAAAGAAAAATAAAGAAAACAAAACTTCAATATGTAGAAATAGAGAATTTTGTGTTATTTATTAAAACATAATGGCTTTAAGGATCACAGTTAGAAGTCAGACTGTATTGAATATGAAAGAAATTGCTTGTCTCTGGGCAGTTAGAAATGACGAACCTGGTCAACTAACACAAAAGCCTGCTTGTACCCTTTTATCCAGGGCCGGATCTTTGCACCAATTCCAATGGGTTTTGTACTACTGGGTGGGAATCTCAAAACCATTTTTAACCCAAGTCGTAATGTAGCTTCTTCTTGACTGGCTTTAGTAATTGTAAATAGTAGGGGATGCCTTTAGTTCTACCTTCAGTTGTTAGTTGTCCACATTTTTTCAAGAATCAGGATTTAATTTTCATGAACAAGTAACATAATTTATACTGTTAATGAGGGGCACCCTGATTTAATCAGGGCTACTGAACTTAGAACCAGTGAGCCTTTGTTCAGGTGCAAGGCTACAGCTGCTCACCATCAGCAGTATGCTACCCCACCATGGATGCATCCAACATGTAATGGGGAACAGCAAAGCGTATGGCCAGCAAGCACCCAAGCAGGACTCACAGTTTCCTACGTTGTTAGAGAATTTGAGTATCGTTTTTAGTGACTGACAATTTGTCATATTTTAATAGACCCATAAATTCTTCTTGGTCTTTATATGTTCCTCTGTTGTTTGAATATATCAACCATTTACTGCCTTAAATGTGTAAGTTGTTTAGTGGTGGGATGGCAGGGTTAGGTTAACGGTTGGACTTGATGATCTTAAAGGTCTTTTCCAACCTAAACAATTCTATGATTCTATGATTCTATATCTGTATTGAAGGAAAAAACACCACCACATTATAATTTTTCAGTCAAATATTTCATTTCCATGGTAAAACATTATATTCTTCTTGATTTTATACAGCTAATTTAGTCCAATTCCTCTTTTCCAGTTACCTCAATTATAATGGCATGCCTTCAAATTATAAAATATGTAGCTCCGCTAAATAGTACCGAAATGAGTCTGATGTGTATCAAAATGTTTGTAGTCATATTTTCCATTCCTTTTTGCATTTAATCTTTCTATAATTTGATGTTAATGGCTGTTCGAGTATTCAGCATTGGAATTCAAAACATTAAGATTATTAAGAGTTGTAGTCAGTGAAAACATCTCTATTTAAAGCTTCTGAAATACAGAATTTTAAAGTTGATGAATTTAAGATTATAGCTAAGTGATTCAGCTTTAGTGAGTGCTGAACTTTTAAGGGAAATAACACAAACCAAATGTGAGTGGATTTGCATACACATTACTTCTGGCATAATATACGCTGAAATTTCCTTAAGCTTTCAAATTTTTGAAGGAGAGCTGCACTGAGTGATGCAGCGCAGTCCACTACACCGAACTCGCAGTTTCAATGCCGTATGAGCACAGACAAGAATACGAATGTGTATTTTGTGGGTAGCACTTCAGTTACTCATGAAGGTACTGCAGTGATGTCTACTTAACCCTGGACAGCTGACTTTGAAGGGATATTTCGGTGAGGCAGATTAATTAATAAAAAGTGAAATATCCGTGAGAAAATGTGGGCAATATTTATTTTAATTCCTCCAAAATCTTGTATTACACATATGCCCACATGTACCCATGCACACAATGTACTAAAGTAAAAAGTTTACACCGTGTCATAACAGAAATTTGAGAGCGTGTAACATGTAAGAAAAATGTATAAGATAACTGTTCTTAGAAATCTGAAAACTCTATTCATTGTCATTCTTATGCATATCTAAAAAGCAACGTAGCCAAGTTTACAAAACATTTCTTATGACTGTTGTGATTTTTGCAGTTAAGGAATCAGGAACTCACAATATGTACATCAAGCTTAAATGGCTTGTGTATGTTACAAGTATAAAGCAGTAGGCAGGGTAAGTATGACTGAAGTCCTGACGTTGCAAAATCTTGACCAAAATAAACAAACAAACAAAAAGTGACCCAGAAATCATCTCTATGATAAGAGAAAAGACATTTCACTTTTTGTGAAAGAGAAGAGGTTTCACCATCCCTGCCAGAATCTTGGGTAGCTGGGCAGCAATCACCTCTGACATCATCTCGGGGAATTCAACGCTCAGTGCACGGGACTGGAGAAATGTGTTCAGACAGAAGAGATGGAGCTGTTTCACTAGCTGGATGTAATAAAATACAAACATGATAAATCAGGCTAACAGTAATGCAGCCAGATAAACATGCTGTCAATCACTTATCTCATACATCCCTCAGCTGACATCATTATATACCTTCTGCTGTCATTGCTTGAATCAATGTCGGTACTTGTCATTCCCTATCAAAATATCGTCTGATGGCAAAAAGTCATAAATACAGCTAAATGGTATATCATACCAAAACAGCGCCTGACTAACATTATAAAATGTTATCATCCTCTCTGATGGCATGCACCATGAACAACAGCAGTTACTTAACAAGCATTCAATCTTTCATTTTATCCTCACGTTCAACACATGTCTCCGTGCCTTGTTTACTGTATGCTATTCAAACACTGCATTTGGGGACAGCATTTACTGTTTCTTTGTGAGCTTTCCCGTGGTTCTGATTATGACCACATCTGGGTATGCTGCAAACATTAAACTCCACAGGTCCTTGTCCCTTGAAAGCAACTGCTCAATATATGTCACTATTTAACCTCTTCTATCTCCTCTGAAAAGTTCCAATTTTATTTTTTCTTTAAGACTTGTCACTTCTACATCACCAAATATCATACTAATTCTTCTACTCTAGGCTTTAACAACACACAGTCTCACCAGTGTGATTATCTTTTCCTTGTATCTCCCATCACTTTATCAGCCTGAGCTGTAACAGGGATTTGAACGAAGATACTCTATGGACCAAACAGTACCCTAACCATCGCTTTGCTGGGTATTTTGCAGCAAGCCTCACTCACTCACTTCCACTAAGGCTATTCTACTTTACTTTTCAAGTATTTGAAATTAAGAGTTGACTCTACAGCCCAGCACTCAAAAGAGTTTTCCTCTGGACGCTGTGACACTCAGATTGCAAGTGATTACTACAGGTAAGGCAGGAAAACCTTTTATCCAAAGCAAGACTGATCCAAACAGGTTCCTGGAGCACAGGGCTACCCTGAGTACTACACTGGCCAGGACTTGTTTTTGCAAGTAAAAGGTGACTGACTGAAATCCAGGGAAGGATTTATCACTGACAGTCCCAAGTGATGACTGCAGTCTGACTACCAGTAAATACTTAAAGTTAAGCTTCGTACCCTCCCTTCAGAACTTTCTATTGTCTACCTTCACCTGTAAGAATGCTTTTCATATTTGTCTCATTCTCCTTTTGCTGGTATCTGAGACATTGTAATAGATAAATGGCGAATGTGAGTTCTGTGAATAGCAGAAGCTGATGGAGAGGATTGTGCAGTGGATCAAAAGACTCCAGGCCACCTTGTGAACCACGTAATAATCAATACTGTTGCCTCTCTTGAAGTCCCATAAATGGGACCCTCAAAGGGTGTTTTGGTTGGGTTTTTTTCCCCATCAGAAGGGGGCATTAGTGACAATGAAAGGTTTTAGATGAATAAATTAATTTATTCAAGAACAATTAAAATAAAATGCAGATTTGCTGAGTGAAGAATACAAACATGCAAAGACCCCATCCTTCCCTAAACTCCCTGCGAGCTCCTCACAACCAGCACTGAACTCAGAAGCACTCTTCCTAAACCGCCTCAGTGCCACTTCCCCAGTGCTTGCTAAAACTGTCAGACATGGCCCCGTACCTCTGCTTTTTGCCTCTCTTGCAGAGATTGATACAGAAGCCATTACAAAATAATATTCACGTGGGCAAAGGTTTATATGAAATGTCATTCCTCAGTTTTAATGGATGTTAAGCCAACAGGATACATGCTGGATTCTCAGAGATGTGGACAGGATTCAGCTGCATCTTTTAAGACACTTATGAACCTCCGTGATACTAGAGTTCTCAAAGATTACTCAGTTCCCCAATATAGACAGATACTGAAAACATGGCACAGAATATACACATAAAGTAGTTGAATTAAGGTTGCAAAACCAATCTTGGTTGTCTTTCTCTAATTCTTCGTAGCCTGACTTTGCAACTTGAATTGCCTATTCTATGCATTATTTAAATATTTTCATGACCATGTAAACACATGCACACACACACATGCTGCCCCTTACCAAAAACCGTAACTACTAGTTATGTTACAGAAATAGTGAAACAAAATGGTACCATTCAAATGCATGTTTCTCAAATACTTAAATCTTGTATACCATATAGTATATATACAATATATACTGATGGTGAATATATAGCCAGCTATTCACACAAATATACACAGTAAAGGAAAAATGTAGGGGTTTTTCTTTTCTTGTTAAGAAATGTTGACTAGCCACTTTCCATAAAATTACTTCTGAGAAATACTAGTTCCTTCTTGCATAAAAAGCAAAACACATTAACAAGTGAACTTACATCATGCATGGAATCCATCAGTTTTGTAAGATGATAGAAACGCTGTGAGTTGGCCACAACACCTTTCTGGCGCAAACCAATTGCCTTCACCAGTTCTCTAATGTAACTCGTTCTCATCTCATCAAATTGGCTTTGACTTCTTAGACCCTCCAAAGGAACTAAAAAGACAGTAACACTTGTGTTGCAATTTATTCTGAAGGCAACGAGAGAAATTTAAAGTATAGGAACAATTTATAGTATTTCACGCTGTGCAGTACAGTTCATTATTATACGCCAGGTACTTTTTCCCGTTCAACAGTTACTCCAGAATTAGTGATAAAATTAGTTAAAAGGCTATACCAGCAACAATCCGTCAATTGTGCTAATTGCTGATGTCTAGAAATAGCCGGAAGCTTCAGCTACACCTGTCTGCTGAAAAGAAGATGGCCAGAAGAACCACTCCTGTCCTGGAGGAAAGTTGTCATGGACTGGCTCATGTTTACACTGCTGAGGGTCAGCCCTCGTCAGAGCAGATTTGTGTTAGAGAGCTGTAGCTGGAGTGCTTCAAAATGGAGTCAAGGAATGAACTAACGGCTCCTAGGCCGTGTAGACAGCAAAGCATCCGGGGCTCGGGCATCCTGTTTGGACCTCTTTCACTTCACAGAATAGATGCACTATCAGAGTCTTAACTGTGAATAGCTTTTAAAGAAATTAGCAAGGAGGAGTAAATGGTTGAACTCACTCTTCTCTTTAATGGTCTGCCACGAGGAACAAAATAAGGACATGGAGAGAATACTGAAATGAACCTGTTATTGACTGCTACTGATAAGACCATACTTGATCACTGATGATAACTGTTGGGAGCATTTTAAGGAAACAGGCGTAAGCTCTAGACTCTACTTTCCTTGATATGGCAGTGATAGGAACCTTGACAAGACACAAGTCTTACAATTTATGTTGTCAAAGGCAACCCAGAAATTAAAAACTTGAAGCAATGAACTTGAAAAAATACTCCCATCTGGCAATCAAATCTAAGTCCTTGATTGTAATAGTCATACAATAACACGGTCTTGTTTCAAACATACTGGTTTTGAAAGAGCTGTTAAATTTCTTCCACTTTCCCTTCTCTCTTGCCAATGACATTTTACACTGCAATGTCACATTTAACATTTCGTATTCTGGCAGCAAGAATGAGAGGAAGGATTCACCTCACCGAACGTCAGACATTTTACAGTACAGGCATCTCAACCTGGGCTAGTTACCACAGCTTGCTGTAGTTTTAATGGGAAAAATCAGGCAAGTATTAGGCACAAGGCACGTTCACTGTTTTAGAAGTAGCTTTAGAAAGAGATGGATTATGCTACAGAGATGCTTATTTTTCTCCATGGACTCTAAAAGATTGTCACAAGCTCACATAGTTACTAAATTGCATGCTAGTTATCTAGGTATCTAGTACGTCTTCAATCTGGTATCAGGCCATGACTGATAGAACTGAACTTGCCATATGCTTATTTCTCTCTTTTTTTTGGCATAGCTCTACTTTCTTAAATCATAGTCTTTCTGAACTATTCATACTATTAGTTCCTAATAGTATATAGCCTCTGCAAGACAGAGCCCTATTTAGAACTTCTGGGGTGCTACTACAACACAGCATATTACATATAGTAAATAAGGACCTGTAAAATGGAAACAATTGCAGAAAATAAAAATGTTGGTCCCTTTTCTGCAAAGACTAATTCTGCTTTCAAGACAGCTTTTAGCCTGTCACAAGTACAATATAAGAAAACATCTAAGCCACAGCAAACTCAATGGAAAAACTGTAAAATCAAAAGCGATGTTAAAACATGGGGGCGGGGGGAAGGGGTCCATTAAGAATTAGAAATGTATTGAGACTGACATTCAGTTAGGTTTAATACAAATTAGTGTTTCTTCAAAATTATATGAAAAGTAAAAACCAGTTCATCTAAATAGTAAATAAACAGAAGACAGAATGAGAGACTAAAAGTTCAGACTTGATTTACTGTTAGTATATGAAAGCTTGAAATGGCCATACTTTCACATTTGAAGAGGATTAAGATGAATACCATGACTAAAATAAAAGTAGTCTTAAAAAACACTTCATAGCAACAATGAGGTTATATGGCTTTTGAAAACAGTTTTGTGGAATTATATTTATACAGTACCAAACGTTTACTAAATGTCTCAGCAACAACGGTTAGGTGTGTTCCTTTTCCCAAAGATCTGACAAATTGTTTTTTCCTATAAGACAATAAGTGCAGGAGAGAACAAAAAGCAAAACTCATCAGCACAGGTAGAAATATTTCTTTTTCTTTTAACTCATTTCTTGCATATATATAAACAAATAATCTCAAAAATGAGTCTCTGAGGGCGACATAGTTGATAAAGAATGGTAGCTTGATGAATACTGTTAAACTGATGCACTCAATGATGAGAGGGATTGGACCATTGCAATTTTTTGAATTGTATTTGAACTTTGTGGGACAGAAACAGGGAGCTGGAATATCCCAAATGTATCTAAATTTCACTGGAATGTAAAACTTCCCCTCTATGGTTCAGATAGACAAGGGAGTTCATTTAGTGACGAAAACAAGGTGGAAAACATTTAAAATAGGAATACATTCAAATTCCCACAAAACAACTGGAGGTATATCAGAGAGGGACTTTCATCCACTTTATTTTTATTGCTTTAGCAGAGTGTATGGTATTTTGCTATTATTTTAGTGTTCATATGAGCTAAATTTAATCTTTACTGCTTACACCAATTTTTTTTAAGCATAAGCTTATGCAAATACCAGCCAAGTACAGCTTAAGAGGGAATAAATTTTAGTTCCTTATCTTTTACTGGAATTTTGTACAACCAGCAAGCAGGTTATGCAGGATTTGCACATCTCTTCTCCGACTCCGTAAGTGTGTAGAGAACCAAACTTCAACATTCTTCCAATTATATTTCTCGGAGGTGATTATTCTCATTTCTAATAGCACTTGTACCATTTTAAAACCTTCCATTTGTGGATTCACAGCTAACAATTATGGCCTCGGCAGATGTACATTTTAATATTTTAGGAAAGGTTTTGGACGATAGTTTCATCAACTACTACATATCCCATTTGAAGTGGAATGCAGCTGTATGCTGGAGTCTTTAAAAGATGAGTATGATTAAAAGTGACCATGGATTTGTTCTAGAGAAACAAACCAAAGAAAAATATTTCCATTTGTTTATATCCATGCTAAACTTGACCTATTTATAACTATAAAAAGTTGGACACATGTTAGTATTGTTTGCCATGTCCATCTCCCTAATTCTTTTGAGTAAACATGCTTTAGGTTCTTAGCCAAGATAAAGGCCTCAGTCTTGATAATTTATTAAATATTTGCTAATACATTTCTAATGCTTGTAAAGTTTTTTTTTAATCTGTGTCATTTAAGCTGAAGAGCTTCCAGGCAGAAATACTGCACACTTGATTTGAAAATGTGTAATACAGAATAGCTATATATCAAAGGGACCCAACATTTCGCCAGTGTCTTTATACAGAATAAAACCAACAATTAATCACAAATTATTCTTTCCTTACAAACACTAGAAAAATATTTTTTGTCTTGGAATACTAACATTCCTCCTAAAGACGTTTCCATTTGTTAAGCCAGATAGCTTAGCAATTGTCAAGTTAAACAACATGATTCAAAGTTCTTTTACTAGTGAGATGTTACAAAGAAATAAAAGAACCTACTTGTGTTGAGAAGTAACAGTGCTTTCATACATAGGAACTCTTCTTGACTAACTTGAAGTCTGACAAATTCCTGTGGGAGTTGCCACATGGATAGACACAGGGAATAGAACGATGATTCTTTCATCCTCTGTCTTACACCCAGAAAAGGTAAAAAAAAATTTAAAAACATGAAAATAAAGAAAAGGAACAGGCTCTGGTACTAATTGCTTGAAGGAAGTGCCTTATCAGTTTAATTACCACATTACAGAGATTAAAGAAAGCGGTTCTAAATTTAAACAAGAGGTTTATATAATTATAAAGAGGTTCTAATCATAAACAGGTGTATGTAAACAAGTTATAAATTAGAAACAATTTTCCAACTTTTTTGTACCTACACTAGTTTAATTGTAATGAATGTGCTATTATTTTGCATGTTTAATCTGTTACTGCTGTCCGTAAAAAAAACCTTGGAGGCTATCAAAGATGAATGCTAACCACCAAAGAAGTGTTTTTATTAATTAAGAACACCCTAATAATTAATGTGAAGTACTTTCTTTTTCTTTTAGAGGTTGATAGATTTTCACATTATCTGAAAAGATTTCAAAGCATTATACTAAAAATAAACCTTAAGAGTTTATAGAAAACTTGTTAAGTTTTGCAAAAATGTCTACATTAAAATACTCTGTTGTAAATCTAACACTGTACTACTAATGGCAATGATATTCTTTTGTAGCATTTTATGCCATTAAAGAAACAGTTAAAAATGTTAAGTGTAAATATATACAAAAAGCATTTAAGTAAACTTAGACATTAATACAGCCTTATCTAAACTCCTGCAGAAGTAAACAGGACAAATCATACAGGGAGATAAATAAAACTGTTTGGTTTTTTGCAGCACTTAAATCCTACTTTTCTCTTTGAGATTTTGGTATACTGAGTATATTTTATTGCATATATTTATTGGGAAGGCAGTTTTCAACTGAACTTACTGCAACAATAGCATTTCAAAGTTTTTAAACTAAACTGAATTCATTGCACATTAACCTGAAGATCTAATAATTTGGGCTAATTTTATAAAGCTGCATCCCGATCTGGGTGAATTAGGTACAACGAGAACATTAAATTTTGCCCGTCCCCCTTACGAAGTTCCAGATCAGCGTTCCAACCTGACTGCAGATAGTACGACCAACAATGAAAACAGGAGATATTTTCCATTAAGAAAAGACTTCTCTCTAGCACTGATTTTTTTTCTTCTGTTATTTAAAGTGTTACCGTTATCTTAAACAAAAATGATTTCAGCTTTGTTCAACATCTGATATCTTGTACCAGCTCTTAAATCACTTGAACATGGACATTTAATCTGTTAGATCTGAAAGGATTGATTACTTCTACAGCTACTTTAAATCTCCCTTCCTATTCCTTTCTAGAATTTTCTGTTCCTAAGTGATATCTATGAAGCGTGACAGCAGCTTGCAGGGTATGCTTAAATGCTGTTCTTAGTCATGGTTTCAGACACTGCAAAGCGTAAGTCACAGTAAATCCCTGTAGGATTTTAATTGATTAAATTGATGTAGGAATTTAATTGATGAAATTGTTGTCAAAATAACACTTCTGGCTTTATCGGTCTGAAACTGATGCTACCAAACAAGTCATTCCCAAGGAGCGCTACAACTCAGTTTACTAAATGGCAGATTGGCTGTGAAACAATCTTTGGATTGTGGTTTCACGGTCATTTTGAAACAATTCAAGTGTGTGTTGCCCTGTAGAAGGAATTTCCATTATCTCTTTCCACCTCTAGGTGCGCACTCCTGCTATTCTGGCATCAGTGCCTGCATGTCCATGTGGTGAGTCAGTTCAGGGATCACCTCCATCTGCTAATTAATGGCTTTTTCTGGGGTATTTCTCAAGCATATGATTTCCTTATCTGTTTGACAGTGCAGCCAGATAGTGTTTGATCCAGCTTAAGTGAAATCATGGGGATGCGTGACCAGGGCAGGGAGGCAGGTGGAGTTGACTTTTTTGGTTGTGTTCAGCACTTCCCTTTGCTTAAAGTGGTCACGAAAGTACAGTCCTACAAATCATTGTAGACAAAGAAGTTGCTTACATTTTACTGATCTAAAAGCAAACTTACTTCCCAATAAATAATTGCAGCTATGATTTAGTGTGCCAGTTACTCTTCATGTCTAACTCTTCATTTATAATGTTTCTAATACAACCCTGATGAGATGTTCTACAACCAAGAGAAGGGTATTTTATCAGTCCACCTACTTCTCAATGTAGGTGGTCTTGAGCTGCAAACAAGAAGCTGTCTCTGAGGGACTACAACCAGGTTTCATAAATCTCAACCCTCTCTTGAAGAAAGTCTTCTTCACAAGGTAGCAGCAGTGGTCTGCATACAGAGTAATACCCCAAGACATGCCATCATGGCCTAACGCCATTTCACTCTGTGCTGCTTCTGAATGTAACCATGAGATGTATCACAGACTATGCTGGGACAGAATACAGTCAGAAGTTCTCTCAATTTCATCCCTTCAAAGTATTTCAACTCGTACAGCATAATTAATGCACATGGGAGAGGAAAGAATTCATTACTCTATAACCTCACAGTAATTTAGCCATCTGGAAGAGAAAAGGTCAGCAGCTACAGGGCCAGCTCCACTGAATGTTTTCTATAAAGAACTTCACCAGCAAGAACCTGCTGGGTTCCAGTTGGCAGCCGGTCACAAGCGGTGTCCCCCAGGGCTCAGTTCTAGGGCCAGTCTTGTTTAATATCTTTATCAATGACCTGGATGAGGGGATTGAGTGTGCCCTCAGCAAATTTGCAGACGACACCAAACTGGGTGGTAGTGTTGATCTGCTTGAGGGGAGGAGGGCTCTGCAGAGAGACCTGGACAGGCTGGATCGATGGGCCGAGGCCAACTGCATGAGGTTCAACAAGGCCAAGTGCCGGGTCCTGCACTTTGGTCACAACAACCCCATGCAGCGCTACAGGCTTGGGGAAGAGTGGCTGGAAAGCTGCCTGGC